GGTACCCTCTTTTATGGGAATACCCGGACGCTGCAGGTCCTGCAGTGCAGACTGCAGGAGGGGTACCCCCTCGGTATGATAATAGCAGGACATTGCCGGAGCATTAGTATAGGAAGCAGGAGGGGGTCACCCTCAGCATTAATCTTACAGTACGCTGTAGAGCTAGCAGGGTACTCATAGGTAGCCATGTTGCCAGAGGGAGGGGGTCACCCAGCCCAGCCCACAATGGTGTCACACGTTCCATTATTATGGTCCAGTAGCAGGGAGAGCCCCAGAAATATGGATGGGGGGGTTCACCCCCCAGTAATAACAGGTCTGAATGTGAGGCCAGTAGCCCCGCTGAGGGGTAGGAGGGTCCATATAGCGAGAAGCTGACTCACAGACCACTCAGGTATTATATTAGGATACACTTTTGAAGTGTATGTGTAGTGGAAAATTTAAGTCCCTTGCAGGAAGGGCAGCAAATCCTAGGCAGGGGAGCTAGGTGCTGAAAAACAGGCCATTAATTTTTATGAGAAAAAGACTGAACCTTAGAGGAAGACTAGATTAGCATATAACACATGTGGCACATTCTTGTTAAACAAAGATTTTTATTTGAGCAGTAACATGTCCCTTTAAATCTGAGATTCACATGTAATAGTAAAAAAAGTGTGACAAGTCTACTGCTAAGATAGAGAACCTAGTCACATTGCATCAGACATAGTAAGCTGCAGTTGTGAGCATGCCTGGGACAGATTCTGCCATCCAGGATCTGTTACATATGCAGCATGTGAGACAGGCACAGTAAGCAGAGGGATAGCTGAAAATTGGGGCTATCTCCCCTGATATAGGGAGAGGGGAGGGTGGCCACATGGCCAGCAGGCCAGTTCTTGGGTGAGACCTGGCTGTTCGCAACGCACAAAGCCCATGTGGCTCTGAAAAATGGCCGCCACGGCTCCAACAAAATGGCTGCCGTGGCTGCAAAAACAGAGCGCGGCCTACCGCGTGGTGATCGTGCGGCACTGCAAGCGGCCAGGGGCCACGGGGAGCAGGTGGGGAATAAGGGAGAAGGGTATGGGCGACAGAGCCCAGCAGGGGAACCCGGGGAGGGGGAACAGATTACAGGCAGAGCCAAAGCATCATAGCAGGGGCACCCATTCCCCATACAGCAGAGTGAGAAAACAGTATAAAGTAACCCAGAATAACAATAAATCAATGAGCAGTATACAGAATCTGTCAGATAAATGGCCTCAATACAGCAACAGATGTTAACAAGTGATACAGCAGCTACATAGCATGAAGTGGTATAGGAAATAACACAGCAATAGACTGCCTAGCTAAACACAGCAATAGACTGCCTAGATAAACACAGCAATAGACTGCCTAGATAAACCCAGCAATAGACTGCCTAGCTAAACACAGCCATAGACTGCCTAGCTAAATCCAGCAAGAACCCTGCCTAAATAAATCCAGCAATTAAGCTGCCTGAACAAACCTAACACATAGACTGATTAAATAGACTGTTTAAATAAACAAGCAGCATGTAGAATAAAACAACAACCAAGAGCAGAGACAACTCTGAGTTGGTGAGTGCTCACCTGGAGGCAGCAGCAAAGAAAGAGGAAGTGGAAGAGCCTGCTTAGGGGTTTTATACTACTGTGGCTTTGTTCTGATTGGTTGTTTTGAAAAGTTCTGTTAACTGTTTCTTTGCTGCTGGAGGTTTCAGTAAAGAAGGTAAAGCAAATATGAAGCCTCCTGTCCTGCCATAAAATTCAAATTTTATTGAACAAACCTCCGAATGATAACAGTATTTTTTTTAAACATAAAAAACTTATAATGCACTGTTCCAAATTATTACGCACAGTAAGTTTCAAAACACTTTATAGGTTGTAAAGAATTGAAAATTGTCATTTGTTGTGTTTGCAGCATATTTACTGAAATCAAATGCTATTTCAATCAAACTTATAACAACATTTTACCTTTTTAAACATTTTAACAGGTCACGTTACATTTTAACATAGGACCCTTTATTTGATAGCAGCTTCACAAGTCTTGCATCCATTGAACTTGTGAGTTTTTGGACAGTTTCTGCTTGAATTTGTTTGCAAGATGTTAGAATAGCCTCCCAAAGCTGCTGTTTGGATGTAAACTGCCTCCCACCCTCATAGATCTTTTGCTTGAGGATGCTCCATAGGTTCTCAATAGGATTGAGGTCAGGGGAGGATGGAGGCCACACCATGACTTTTATCCTTTTATCCCCATAGCAGCCATTGATGCAGAGGTATTCATTGCAGCATGAGATGGTGCATTGTCATGCATGAAGATTATTTTATTACGGAAAGCATAGTTCTTCCTTCTGTACCAGGGAAGAAAGTGAGAGGGAGAGGGGGGTAATGTAAGAGTGAGGGGGATGTGAGAAGAGAGGGGGATATGAGAAGGAGGGGGGTGATGTGAGAAGGAGGGGTGGGGTGATGTGATGTGAGAAGGGAGGGAGGGTGATGTGAGAGTGAGGGAGGGTGATGTGAGAAGGAGGGTGATTTGAGAAGGAGGGGGTTGATGTTGATGGTGAGGGAGGAGGGTGGATGGTGGGGGTGATGTTGAGGGTGGTGGGGGTGAGGATGGTGGGGGAGGTGAGGCTGAGAGTAGTGGTGAGGCTGAGGGTGGGTGGGGGTGGTGAGGCTGAGGGGTGGTGGTGAGGCTAAGGGTGGTGGGGGTGGTGATGCTGAGGGTGGTGGGGAGGCTGAAGGTGGTGGGTGGTGGGGAGGCTGAGGGTGGTGAGGCTGAGGGTGGTGTGGGGTGGTGGGGGGTGAGAGAGAGCCTACCTTTTCTTTCCTGGTGGTCCATTGGGCTCCCTGGTGATCCGGTGGCCATTGCGAGACCATCAGAGCGTTGCCGTGGTAAACCGCGGCAACGCTCTGATTGGCCGGTTTTCGCAAGACACATGGTCTGCAGATCTGCTCACTATGGCGCTGCTGACCGGTGTCTGCGGTGGCTGGCCGGGCAGCCAGGAGGGGCCTCGCATCCGGCAGCATACTGGGCAAGCCGTCAGGCCCCGTCCTAGTGTCAGGTCCTCGTTCACTGACCGAGAACCTGACACAGTCTGCCCGCAGGTGGTTTAGGCGGCCGCGAGGCTCCTCCCAGCGCGAGGCCTTAGGCGGCCACCTAAACCACCTAATTAGAGAGCCGCCTCTGTATGTGTATGTCAGTACGTATCATGTGTATGTGTATGTCAGTATGTCAATATGTCTGTCTGTCTGTCTGTCAGTATGTGTATGTCGGAATGTTTGTATTATTATTACTTTATGTATGTATGTATGTGTATGTCAGTCTGTCTGTCTGTCAGTATGTGTATGTTGGTATGTATATTATTACTTTATATATGCGTATGTCAGTATGTCTGACTGTCAGTATGTCTGTCTGTCAGTAACCTCTCACCCACGGGCAGTGGATGAGGGGTTAGAAATGTATTTGGTTTCTCTTTGTTAATTAATGAAATAATTTATGGGCATTTAAACAAACCAAATTGATTTAATAATAAAATATAGTTCTCCCTAATCAGTTTTTAATTTTGCATGAACTAAACTGGATGAACCAAATATTTGCCAGCCCTCAGTTCTAGTGCAGGGTACAGCAACGTATACCACATTTAAACCCCAAGTAATTGCAACAACATGTTTCTGTGACGTATCCCCTTACTCTCTTGGACATTGGGAATGCTGTAGACTGGCTGAGAGTGATGGGAGTTAAGATCTTCCCATCTTGAGTACATATACCTCCTAAACTGATGATGATAGTCCCCTAAAACCCAGCCCTAACCTTAATCCACAACAACTCTACGTCCCCTCTAAATGCATTACTAGTAGTGACAACAATACAAGTGGTAACAATGTGAAGGACAGGGCGTTGACGTTTACTAGCAAAGCATTATTATTGTCACACAGATGGCACATGGCTTGACAGTGACATTTTGTATGGGTCACAGGAGATCTGTATTAAAAATCGGAATATTTATGAAATTATTTGTTATTATTAAGAGGTTTCAGTCTCTTTATGCACATTACAACTTTCAGAATATTCTTGAACTACAAATCCCACAAACCTCTGGGTAATCACAAATTGCCTGCAGGCACTGAGTACATTAGATGTCAATGGATGCCAATGAATGCATTTTTGTTTTCCTTATCAGCTTTTTATTCTTAGTTAAGTTTTAGTGTAGTTTCCCAGATTACATACTTCCTGGATCAGTGGGTGTATCTCAATATTTATCCTTTATTTATGCAATCTGTTTATTCTGTGCATTACATGAGTTAGAAAATAGATACTGACAGTTCTATCACTAAGCCTCTTTCACGCTCCCATACAGCTAACGAAACCAGTTCCCCTTTGTAGTGATGTCATCATCAAGTGCTTTACTGGAAGCTGGTCTTTCTACAGGCTGTGTTTATATACACACGTTTCCATGGCAACGTTTCAGTGTAGCAGGAAATCTATGCAAACAAACATAAGGGAACCCCTGACGCGTTTTTATTTTTTTCTCTTGTCAATGTTTACGCGACATCCATGTTAACAGGGGAAAACATTTAAAAAAAAGTTTAGAGCATTTTATGTTTTAGCTTGTATAGTAATCATGGTTAGTAAATATCAGGAGCAAAATATTAAACAAGATAGTTTGTTAGTTTTAACAAACTTCATCCTCTACGTGTGGATAGACTTTAACTCTAAGTCATCCATAGTGTTCTAGAGACTTGTTGGATTTATCGTCCAACATTATTAAACACAATTCGCCTACAAACGATCCAAACACAACAATGTTACATTCACTCAAATACATACATTGTATTTAGAACAGTCAGTGTTGGTCATAACTTAACCATAGAGTAGACACAATACACATTGTGAAATAAGCAAATTAAGTAATTAAAGGGACAGTTTTAGGTACCATAACAACTTCATCCACTGGGCAGGAGCGCCATTGATTGGCTGAGAGCCGGGTACCACCTGGGGTGGAGCTGAGATTGGCACTGGAGGCAACTTTAGGGTTAAAATGTTAGAGAATGGTTTAACCCCTTTTACGCAAAAGTAAATGTAACCCTGGTCCTACCCATGTTTACCTATTCTGGAAAAGCCTTAGATGATGTCAAGTTGTCCTGGCTCTATTTCGGACTGCGGTGACGAGCACAGTCAATTGCTTTACGGTCACGTTCATTCAGTGCAAGCAGACACTGGATCCAGGATTCTGTACGGATTGTTAAGCAACATCTGGATGTGTTTTGTAGAAACAGTATATTCAAGAATATAATAGTTCGTATGTGAGGTAACAGCTTGTTAATCCAAGGAGAAATCTGACTGCTATATTGGAGTCTGGAAAGATTTTTTTCCATTATTGAGCAAATTAGAAATCACTTCTTGGGGTTTTCGTCTATTTTACATCATTGCCAGTGATATAGCTATGTGGACGGTTGATCTTGATGGACTTATATCTATTTTTAGTCATTATTACAATGTAACTATGCCCGATATAGTTGTACAGACAGCTGTAAAAAAGAAGAAAAAGTCCTGCAAATTTGTGTCATTCAAATTTTTAAATTTCATAATGTTTTATTGATGTTATTTTCAGAAAAAAAGGTTCTGCCTTGATCTAAGGCCCCACCAGTTGTTTTCGGATTCCTTGTTCTATAATTCTAAGTTAGCCTATTTCTCACAGAGAGTTATAGGAGTTATAGTTCAGCAACAGGAGGCTCCAGTCATCCTCCCTGGCTTCAAATTCAATTTTGTTGTATAGAACAAGGCTAGCAAACATCAGGAAATTCTAGCTAATAAGGAATGCAACTCCCAACAGGGTGAGAGGGACAGCCAGAGCAGTCTGAGATAAATTGGTTAGATTGTAAATTTAGTTTGTTATACAGATAGATTGCCAATATTGTCTATGTGAAAAGTATCGAATGCACCTCATCATAAACGCCACTCTGGCAAACTCAAGTCGAGACCCACGCTGATGTTAAACGATCCGCTGAAGTAATAATGGGGATGACACTTTCATTGTTTCTCTGGTTACATGTTCCGTCCTGGGCAGTAAATCATTAAATAAATTGATGATCACTCTCTAGCGTGATACTAGGGTATAGATTTACACATCTTAGTGGGGTTTGGTTGTTTGTGATAAATGTATCCCTGTCCACTACTCCAAATTTACTATAGAGCATGCGGTTAGTTGTGCACTGTATTTATTGCTGTCACTTTTATTAAATCAAGTCAATAATGTACTTTGACTGAATACACTGATCAGCCACAACATTAAAGGATTACTACAATGTTAGGAATGCAAAACTGTCTAACTAATGCTATAGTGTCCATCAGCGTGTAACTATAGGTCGGCTCCCCCTCCCTACGATGTAAGGGTTAAAAACCTATTTTTCTCTTACCTGATTCCAGCGCCGAGTTTATCTCTGTGAAAAGCCTGGCAGCGCCTCTGGTGGCTGTCTGATAGTCATGATAGGCAGTCTTAATCCTGCAATGTAAACATTGCACGGTTAAGAATACAGGGCCTCTGCACCCAGACCACTTCAATGAGATGAAGTGGTCTGGGTGCATATAGTGTCCCTTTAAAAC